ATTGCAATACGCTACATGTTTAGCGGTTTTTTTTATAAAAAGGACAAAATTTCGACGCCAACATATTTACATTTTCCGCCCTATATGTTTCTATGTCAAATGATTAAAATACTTTGGGAGCAAATCAAGCAAAAATATTGCCAAAATAATTGCAAAAAATATTGCCAAGTGGCAAAGTTGGGGAAAACAGCATTTTGACTCATATTGTGGCTTAATTTCCGCAATGCAGTGGTCCAAGTAAAAACGTTGCATTTATAATGTTGCACAGTATGCTTTGTCGGTTAAATAAGGATCAAGTTTCGAAGGAGTATAATTTGTTATAAAGGAGAAAAACGTTTCCAACTGAACAGTCACACGGTAGTAGAAAGCCTGCCTTTGCTTCACCTTCACTGCATAGCACGTCAGTGCGAGGTTCCGTCGGGGGCTTTTCCGCAGTGAATGGTGCCTCTCAAACAACTTCTTGTCACTTGTTTTAGTGATACTGCTGTATATAAAGTCAAAAATAGGGTAGTATTGCTTTCTTTATGGAATAGTATCTTCCCCAATGCACCATCAAAAGGCAGGTAATATTGAACCTCTTCTTAGTCTCAAGGGGCAGAGTTAAAATACAGTCTATGGCCTGCAATACAGTACTGAGGTGAACGCTTCAGTTTCTGATAATAAATAGATACTGTGTTTATGTTAATTAACGACATAATTAAAAATATATTTTATCTAAGCTGTTTTTATGTAAGCTAATAAATAAAATGTTGGTTGTCATAAACCTACAGGAGCATAATGAGAAATGCAGTATGGTCAGCTGTAGCGAGCACAAGTATTATTGTTCTGCAGTGTGGCTGACAGCGCAAGAATAAGGAATATAAAGCTGCAAAAATATACTACAAATTAAAACTATATTTACATTGATTCGCGTCATCTGTTCGTCCCTTCACACTTACATGTCTAGAAGGGCACGCCGAGTGATTTCTGCAACTAGCGGCATAACGCACAAGAAATGAACAGAATGAAGAAATATGGGTGGACATGTTATTATGTAAAATTAAGAACAATATACATAACAACCATTATTTTTATTAGAAATGAAACTGTGCAAGCGATGACTCACGCAGTAAAGAGACACATGACTTAGCGGGATATTGTTGATTACCTTTTTTAAATTGACACGAACATATTATATGCCACATATGTTACCCAAAGTTGCGGGGATCGTTACAAGCAAACATGTGTCGTTGCATTGCCGTTCACACATTTCTTGTCCGCGAACCACGTATGTAAGTCAAAGGTGCCACCGAAAAGCAATGAGTATAGGCAACGGGAGAGAACCGAATCACTCTGCCATGGTGTGAAAGTGATTTTGAGCAATATATCTCAATCAGTTGAACTTGCGCACCTGCAGCTGGAAGAAAAGTAGCACATAATGATTTTACCAAGACCTTCTTTTTTACTACCCGTCACGTTGGTACAGTAGTTATTGTGCTTCGTTGCTGACCTGCAGGTCACTGAATCGAATCTTTGTCGTATTTTTGATGTAGGCGAAAATGCTTGAGGCCCATTCACTTTGATTTAGGTGCATGTTACCGATCCAAGGGGGTAAAACTTCCGGAGCACTCCACTGCAGCATCTCTAATTATCGTATTGTATAGTCGTCATAATCGTCTCTCATAATCCCCTTGTCACCCACAGAAGATCAGTGTTTACGAATGAGATCATTTTTTTCTGTTTAGTTCATTTTGGGCTTGCGCTGATGACTTCATCTTTTTAGCGATTGACTTTTTAGCTAAATTTCGTCACTCATGAAGCAGTGGTCTTGTGATAGCCACACTCGATGTGGCTTCTGAAATTTTCGAGCGCGTTCTTCCAACGTGTGAACGGAGAGCTGACCAAAGCACGAAGAACTTGCTGAGTGCCCTTGGATGAATTTCGTCTTCCAAAAAGCACACATGTTTTGCAGGGAACTCCCTCCTGATAGTTTGAATACACAAATCAGGAAAACATTTCTTGCCTGCGAGGTTTGCGCTTACTATCTGAGGGAAGGCTGTGGTTAGCGCCTGGTTTATATGGCGTCATTAGCAAACGTCGTACTAGTCTCGTCGTCATGGACTCCTCGTGTCTTGGCCCGTTAAACACGTGAAAAGCACTGTCGTTGTCAGGAATCGTGGTTTCCGTGCATGAATCGTGATCCGATTGGTTTTCAGTTCTTTCGGCGACCGAGTCGTATTTAAGCAGTGCAGACCTATACAGCTGGAAACTATGCACTTCTTCGGCTGCTGGAGCTTTTTCGCCAGTTGTCTATGTATACGCTTGGAGCAGCTTCGCCTTTCGAGAAATAATAATCAAGTGTAACCTTACGGCGTTCCGGCGCGTCCACCGAGCCTCATATAAGGGCACTGATTGGCACACGTAGAATACGAATCGCCCAGCAATACGTGTAGGCAGCGTATTTCAAAGGGGTGACTTATCATTCTAGGAAGCAGCGCACTCGGCAAAGTTCGGGCAGTGACACTGAATGCGAGACATAACTTTAGCGACAATTCATGTCGCCTGTTAAGTTCCGCCTTAAACATTAACGCTCGTTTCTCCCCTGGCGAAAATATTCGCAGGTATACATTTCCCCCGCTTTCATTCAGGCGCCGGTAAGGACGCGCTCGCCCAGTATCAGCTCTGCGCGCGAAACGTCTAGCTTTTGTTAATGCGCTTCTACAGTTTAACGTTCCAAAACCACCATATGAAAATGAGAGACGCCGTAGTGGAGGGCTCCGGAAATTTCGACCACCTGGGGTTCTTTAACGTGCACCCAAATCTGAGCACACGGGCCTACAACATTTCCGCCTCCATCGGAAATGCAGCCGCCGCAGCCGGGATTCGATCCCGCGACCTGCGGGTCAGCAGCCGAGTACCTTAGACCACCGCGGCGGGGCTTGCGCCTCTATGGAAGGCTGGTAGTTTCTGTTGCGCTGGGATCCCATACCACAAATGTGAATGAACTCGAAGGAATTGACGCCAGCAGTGAAATTTCAGTGACTCGCCTCAGAATGCCCGAAACAAACAACCGATAGGTGTGGATGGTGCACAGTACAGCTTATAAGTTAACTGCTGTTGCATGCGCTGGCTGTTCTCGTCGGAGTGCACGCGCTCTGATATATTGATTATGGTGCACAAGGCTCTCAACAGGACTCTAGTTCATTCCTTCATCACTAGCGAACCGATAACTGGAGATTTTGTGTGGTACGGGCCTGCTCCTTTTCGCGCCGGCGTAATTGCTGGAAACACGAATGTACGCACTAGTTAAAATGGTGTATACATGGCATATCTATGTTGCGCGGTGGAATATTCTGTACGGTTCTGAATCTGTTGACGTATGAGGAGATGACGGCTGCATGCTTGCAAACAACGAAAGACACCTTGCCGCAATGTTATCGTTTTAGAGAGCAGAGTGACGAAAGCTACAAAAAAAAAAGAGAATATTACGCGTTTTTGTGCGTATTTAAGTTTTCTAGCGAATATAGGCAGCAAACAAGCTATTTCTACGTCAGTAGGCATAGTCTGGTCCCAGGTCCATTTTTGATTGAAACCAAGTGAACATTTCTGAACAACGATTACCTTGCCCTCACAGATTGTACAATAAAACTACTACGATTCAAGTGTTTCGTTGCTATCAAAAGTCACAGTGCAACTGTATTGTCAACCAAGGTTGCGAGAAAGTCTGTCTGAAAAGTAACGCATGCAAAATCGTGTTGCCAACAAGAAGCATAACTTACGAAACAGGTTACTTATTGCGGATTCAAAGCATGCTAGGATGCACGCGGTAAAGTGAAAAATGGGGACTAAAAGCTATTACAGTGACCGGGCCTGCTTGACATAAGGAGCTTAACACAGAAATCATGCCCATAGGCATGCAGTCACAAACTTCGACACTACAAATTCACTAAGCAAAGTAAGCAAACCCAAAAGGTAATTATGAATGTACAAAAACATGCTGCGCATTCCACGTTGTAAGCGGAGCCGTCCTTGACTTGCGAAACGCACTTCGACCCGACGAGGACAACGCCATCTACACCTAACCGAGATTAACGACTAACAAATATCTTCCTCGATCAGACGGGTCATCACAATTGTTCGTTTTCGAAGACTAGTTTATTCAATGATGCGACGAGAGGCCTTTGCTCTAAACGGCTACTGTACCTGTCATGTACCATATTTTACTGCAGTTACTTTACATTTACTTACTATATATCTTCATAAGCATACGCATGGGCAGGAATGGGCGGGGGGGGGGGGGGAATTTCATGACTTGGATGTACATGTACACAATCTCCTTAAACGACCGCCGATAGGCCGATAGTCACGTCACAAGAAAACTGATGTCTGTGCCCCCTCTCCCGTCGGGTTGGTGTGACCCCCCCCCCCCCCCCCTGAAAAAATATTTCTGGCTACGTCACTGGTCGCAACCCTTATGTTAGCTCGGGTCCGTGATGTTGCTACGCACCAAACGCTTGCTTGCGCAGCGAGAGCCTTTGTTCTACGCACTCGCCAACGTCTGACCTTTCGACAAGACGCCGCAGCCGCTCAAACCTCTCAACAAGCTTCGATTGAATACATCGTGAGGGTGATTATACTACATTGCGCTGAATGATGGTGAAACACCAGACAATTCGCAGAGCACGCGAGGTGCCACCGAACTGCACTGCTGAAACTGACGCGTACGCAGCTGACTGTGTTCCCCCGTGCTCCGTAGCAGACGACGCGGACACAGCTGGCGGCAGACAACGTCGGCAGACGCTGTTGCCAGACACACAATACGACCTCGCAGACAGCGTCAAACACGCATTGTGCGTGACCCGAAACAACGTTTGTTGCAATTTACTGCTCCTCTAGTTCATATAGAACCCAGGAACGTGCATATTTTGTTTCTATACCTATTTTTTAACGAGAATTCTGCTTCTATTCTGCATACATACTTGTCCGAACGTGTTTTTTGTGGTGGATATGCGTAGCAAAACGCTGCTATCGTTATCGCCACTGCGAACAGCAAGGCATAAAGACTGCGTTACTCCATCGAGTCTTGTCTTCCTATTCACTAAATTGCCGGTTTTAGCTTTCCTCGTTTCTGCCGTTCCTGGCTTCTTTGCGGTGCTCGGAGCCGCGGAACCCAGGGTATCCCTATTAATGATCCGCGATGGGCGAGTTCACGCACGACATCGAATCGGAACTGATCGCTCTCGTCGAAGAACGACCGTGCCTGTGGAACTCCAAAGACATTCATTATCACAACAGGCATGTCAAGGAGATGGCGATGCGAGAAATCACCGAACGATTGGGACATGGATTCACAGGTGAGGACACGCGTTTGCAGTAGCGGACAGAGGTGGTCGTTTTTTCTGCGTGTCGACAAACGCTAAACAATCTAAGCGCAAATTGGCGGGCGCGTTACGCTATGGTGGCGGCATCTGTTGACAGCCGCCATAACTGTCGTTGCAAAGACTAGAAAGCGCGACATTCGAACTGGCTTTGTAACAAGCTTTCAGATCAATGTCAGTGATGTTCCGTGCAGGGAACTTTCCCTTTTTCTAAGTATTTTTGCCTGTTATATTGAGCCAAAGGAAAAAAAGGAATCTTCGTGTTATCTTTGTGTTGTCTATCTCCTTCGTGATACGAAGGAGCTAGACAACACACTTATCCGATCCGCCAAATCTTACGGCGTCCACAGCGAACAAGAACAAATATTGGTAAACAAACTTTTACCCATCAAACAACTTGCATACTAAACAAATTAGAACATAAGCTTAATTTTGACTGTACAGAAAAAGCATTTAAGGTACAAGTTAAAGAAGTGCTAATGCAGGAAAACATACTTTTTGATAGATCCTAAAAATGTCTGATGTTAGCAATGGTTGTAGTCGGGCGATAGAAATCTTGTGCTGCATGTATTTTATTATCTATAAAATATAATGGTATGTATCACATGTCTCTAATGTTCTAGTCTTATTCCTTCCTGAGTGATTGTTATTTAAGTATCTTATGTAGTAAGCATGTTACAAGATTTGTATAATCAGTCAGATTCAATGTGACATGATATTTTTGTCAGCTATTCTTTGCTCTGTTGCTTCTTTTGTTCATGAAGGTCTGGATGCCGCGAAAGCTGTTTTTTATTTTATTTTTTTAATGTACGAACTGTGTACAAGGGTGTTGGGTCCTCTGTCAGGCTATATACCTTTAGCCCCAACATCCTTTTGTTTCTTGTGTCTTGTACAAGAAAACAATAAAACAAATTTTGAAAATTGAAAAAATTGCAGGGAATTGCATGAATGGTTAAATCCTCCTATGGCCACTGATAATTAGCGGTCACAGTGCGCCTTCATCTGCTCTAATCGGTTCTGGGGCATGCACCACGCAAGCATAGCCTTCGAGATTTGTTTCTGATATTTACGTGGAGTGATTTTTAGTTCACTATTGGTGTTAGACTTGAAGTCTACAATGTGCAGTGTACTAACATTATATGAAATATTGAAGTCATGCTTTTATTGTGCTGCAATGGAGGGAGTAGTCGTAATTTCGAAAGTCGCCAGTACATGAGACACGTGTAACTATGGTTTGTGTGTGTGGATGGGGGCGTAAGTTTGTACTGTTGTGCAGGGAAATATGCTGGGAATTTCGTCAACGTTTACAGGGGAAAATTTGCGAAATAGGGAACTTCCATATCTCTGAATGGGAATTTTTTCGGCGTAGTACTGATCAGTGTATGAACGTGAGGTCAGAGCTCTTCTCGTGTTGTTGCGATGTATTGGAACGGGGCAGCGCGTCGTCGGCACTGGAAAGCAATAACCTTGATTACATTTACGAGGACTCCACCAGATTGGCGCTGCAACGGACGGGTGTGCCTAGCGCGTTAAATTTAAACATGCAGGTGAAAACTTCTTGCATTTACTGTATGCAATGGTGACACAATGTAAATAATTTCACATAAAACCCTAAATATCATTAGCAGGAAATGTGATGGCGTGTTCTTTCAATAAATCAAGCAGATTCTGCATCGTTTCAGCTTTGAGGTTTCATGTCGCATGACCACTTCCATGTTCCCATTTGCGGACAGCACAGTTGATTGAAATGTGGCGCGTGGTCAGAAAAACAGCAGGAGTGTAAAAGAAAAAATTCAGATCTATCGATTGCTTTCCACGAATGAAATTCAGACTGGAAATATTGGGAAGCAAAGAGGACACATGGCACAACACTGTGCTGTATGTCCTCTTGTTTTCTCCTTCCGCGTTAGATGCGCTGTTAGCCTCGAGATCACTTTGCCGGCTGCCACTCGATTCCATCAGCTGTGCAAAAATATCAGTTAACTTGTGTGCACTTGGAGTTTACAGCGAACTAGCTTTCACATGTAATTTGTGAACATGCCTAAGGTATCACTTGCTTCACACCACGTGCATGCATTGGTAATCCAGTGTTGCCGCAAGTCTCTGAAGCATTGTCGCACTGCGAAACTGAAAATCTTCATTTCAGGTGGGCACTTCTTGTTAGTGCTGTCTAAAACGCAGTATTCCATATGTGACGTAAATCTGCCCTAGCAACCTCACACATCTCCGCTCATAGACCGGCTGAAGTGAGCAAAAGCATGCCATTTGCTCACTTCCTCACTGCGGTGCCTCCGGCTCATTGCATGTTACCTGTTGGCCATAGCAAGTGGTCTGAAAACTTTTTCAACCGTCACTACAGACACCCATGCTGATATCTGACTGGAAGGCTGGGAAGTTGGGCCCCTGCGCATAAATCTGGTTTCAGATGCTGAAGGAAGAGAACTGTGGCTAGTGCGAAAGCACTTGGATCACAAGACATGGAAACTGTTGAAAGACACTCAGCTTCAGGTTTCTATACTACAGCAACAGACTGAACCTTTAAAACAGTAAAACCATTGCCAATGCAAATGCATGAGTATTTCTGTTTGTAGATGCACATCTATTGTCTTTTAATTCTGTATTTATTGCAAAGGATACTTTCAACCAAGGGAGCTAATAATAAAGCGGCATGGTTTCCACTTTATGCGAGTGCTTTTTTTTTTTTTAACTACCCAAGGGTTTCTTTCCAGGGCAAACAATTTTTCAAGCCGACTTAACGGTCATGTAATTTGGTAAAAATCATCATAGAAAATCTGGAAGAGCCAGGAAATTCAGAAAAAATAAATTGATAAGACACCCTGTTTAACCTTTTTTCACAAAATTTATCACAACAGCTGTATGAAGGCCCCGCCACGGTGGTCTAGTGGCTAAGGTACTCGGCTGCTTACCCGTTCAAATCCCGGCTGTGGCGGCTGCATTTTCGATGGAGGCGGAAATGTTGTTGATTGATTGATTGATATGTGGGGTTTAACGTCCCAAAACCACTATATGATTATGAGAGATGCCGTAGTGGAGGGCTCCGGAAATTTAGACCACCTGGGGTTCTTTAACGTGCACCCAAATCTGAGTACACGGGCCTACAACATTTCCGCCTCCATCGGAAATGCAGCCGCCGCAGCCGGGATTTGAACCCGCGCCCTGCGGGTCAGCAGCCGAGTACCTTAGCCACTAGACCACCGCGGCGGGGCGCGGAAATGTTGTAGGCCCGTGTACTCAGATTTTGGTGCACGTTAAAAAAACCCAGGTGGTCGAAATTTCCGGAGCCCTCCACTACGGTGTCTCTCATAATCATATGGGGGTTTTGGGACGTTAAACCCCACAAATCAATAAATCAACAGCATATGAAGGATGCCCTGTTTTGTTCACCTTGTTCCATATCACCAAGGACCGATCATCGCCATAAGGTGGACCTGCCATCCTGTCGCACCGAATTGTGCTGCGACTCATTTGTTCCCAGGACATTCACCACCTGGAACCACCTTTCAGCCTCTTTCACCTTCATAATGGACAAAAAAGTCTTCAAGCTTGCCGTACAAAATGCCCTCTAACTTTTCTGTTTTCTTCCTGCAAATTTTGTTATCCCCACTTCTTTCTGTTGTGCCTCCAGAGCTTGAAAGTATATTTAATTAACACATAAACAAATCTGCTGGTCGCTGTCAGACAGCTGGTGCAGGCAGCTCTGAAAAGAAGGATGAGAGGCCTCTGAACGAAAAGAGGGCACCTGAAAAAATGGAAACTCAGCGCTGTGCTTGTAAGTTCTCTTTCCATCAGATGACTGCAAGATTTAGTTGAGATGTTCATAGTAGTGTGTCTGCTATCTATAGGATGTGTTTTTTCCATGCCTGAGGAGTTGCTCTTGACCGTTTAAATACCAGTGGAGTAATGGAAAATAATTATGGTGTCTGGTAGCAGTGAACTGGGTGTTTCGATGCATAATCTTTGTGTCATCAAAAGCTTGCGGCCTGCACGCATATTTACGACAGCTGTGTGTAGTGACTTGTGCTTGATTGTGCTAAACTAGTTACTCATGGTCTTCATGCAAACATCACCATTTCTTCGTAACTTCATTGAACTTGGACCCTTTTGTGTGGGTGTTTCATTATTTTACTGGAACCGATTGAATATGGGTCTACAGTGCTCACTCACAACCACATGTTGCGTGGCAATCGCATTCAATGTGCCCAGCGTTATATTTCGCATGTATGACATACATTCCTCTTTGGTGACGAGTGAAAGGAGAATTTAACAAAATATGATTCAGGTTTCCAGCCCAAAGTAACTACATAATGAAGCATAAGAAGTACCAGATAATGTGATTGTGTTGTGACCGGGTAGTTAACGAATGACTAGCAACGCTGCTTCGTGATTGCCACCATGCGTAACTCTGACATTAGGTCCCGGAGCTTAAGAATGAGAGCCCATGGATGCCACGCACGGTACCGGCAATATAATGAACAATCATCCTGTACAATGTCACAATAAATGCGTGCGCAAGGCAGAGCAGGGTGCCCGATACGACAAAAGTGTGCGTGTCCAGGTTGGGTGCCATTCGGCCTCTACTTTGCACATTACTGAAAATGCCATATAGGTGGGATAATAAACAGACCTGCGGAGGCAAATACGAAGACTACTACAGATTGTTTCAAATAGAAAAAGGAGCTAAAAAAACTGACAACAGGCCGAAATTTTCACACCTGTGTTATAAGTCAACATCACTAATTCAGATTTAAAAAGGCCCTGCATCACTTTTCAAGCATGGTCAGAAAATGCGGCCGATCAGTAGTAGAGGCTCCCGAGAACATGTGAGTTAAATTATATAGCACAGCATGTGGCCGGGAACTTATTATAAATTCTTAAAGTTGGCTAAAAATTGCTTTCTGTTCTTTCAACAAATAATGCAAGGAGCTTTAAAATTGCTCGTCACAGCTGGTTGATTCGTCACAGCTGGCTGCTCGTCACAGCCATTGGCTGATTTGATCATGATGCACTCGGTCGTTACAGGGTTCAACACGGGAGGCTAAGACTTGTTCACGCATGCGCGCACAACCGCACTGAAAAGCCGCGTATCTGAAGAAAAGAAAAAATTGCTTGAGGTCATGAGGCACGCGTGACGTTTAAGGTGTCCTTGTGCCATCCCTCACTGCGTAGTTTTCAGCACCTTCATTGGGTAGAGAAGAGCGGATCAAATTGCAGCATGTGACAAATCTTAGTCACTCAGCTCGTACTGGACTGATTTGAAAAATTCTTTGGCAGTGCATTCGTGAGACAATAAGCTCTTATAGGGAACCCATTCTATGGCTACATAGAGAGGTGTTGCAGGGCCCCTTTAAACAACGTCTGTTCACATACGTTGGCCAGTGTTGCAGAAAGCTTGTGGCATATGCAGCTGTTTTAACATAAAAGTGTTTCTTGTCGGGGTTCATCAAGACCTTAGTGTTGTATTCCCATCACGGAAATGACGTCCAAAAAATATGTAGCATCAGAAAGCAAAAAAAAAGCGGCAGTTGAACCCATGACCTTTAAGCCTGCATCAACAGAGGCTGAGCATTCTACTCACTGTGCCATGACCACATACTCTCGAAGCTTTGTAAATACACTTTTTATGTCTGCCACTGTTTTTTCACAGTGCTTTTCATAAAGTTAAGTAATGAATACATGATCATGATATTCATAATTACTTCTTTAACACGTCGTGTCTACGCGTCACCACCTGGAATTGTGCATTTTCAATGGGAGAAGAGCAATGTCATCAATGCGTTAGCACAATTCCAGGTGGTGGCATTGCCCCTAGTGTCGGCTTCGCTCATAGCATGCCAAAATAGCTATGTGGCACCTGGCTGTAATTCCGCGTTCAACACTTGTGCTCAGCCCGCAAAGAATAGCGGCCTGTGAACAGTGTAGACACAATGCACGTTGCATTTCTGTCTAGTCGGGCAGTGGCATGCAATACTCTAGCATGTCGCAAGTAGGCAAGCATAGCACAAGTTGGGCATCCGTTAAATGATGACTGTTCTGGCTGTCACATCGCTTTCTTCAATTCTGCTCTCACCGTTAACCACTACAGCTACCGCAAGCATCTATGGCCACAAGGGTTTGTTTAATCGATCAGGACGTCTTTAGGGGCTAGTTGGCTCATTCTAGGCAGGAAAAAATAGCGCTAAAATAGAAAAGGACACCACAAAGAAGGAACACTAAATCAATCGAGTGTAAACTACCAACTGTTTTTATTGACTGTAGAGCGTCGGTTAAATAGGTAAGCAGAACATGGCTGCAAATACGTGCCCAGGAACATCATGTGCTAATGCACCTTATTCATCAAAAATGACACCTATGCACTGTAGACCGATGTTGAGGCATCACTTACACAGCCGTCACTTTGTATGTTGATGAAGGACGCTTCCAAAACCTCACGAGCAGTCATGTTTTTGCTATGTTGTGCAGCCACAACCTGTGGATGTGAAGCGCGATTTCAACAGAGATTGGTGCTGGTTTGTGTGCTCTATTGCACAAATTTTTTCACACCGTATATATATATATATATATATATATATATATATAGTCCAGGTAATTGCTATCGTAGTAAAATAAAAGTAAAGCAGGCAAACTCGTGAGTCATCTGGTACTAGAAAGTTCTGGTGACGCTGAATATTTCCAAACTGTTCTTGTGTCTTTATTCAGTGAAACTGTCTATAGTGTTTTTGAAGTGTTTCTGTGTAGTAAGCAAGTGTCTCTTTAGATGCTAGTCTACACTTTAGGAAAAGCTTTCACGGGGTCCTGAAAGTCTTTGAATACCCTTGCAGATTCCTTTCTAAAGCTTGTACAAACCATGCATTCATATTTTTTAGTGTAAAACTTTTAAAAGTGGGTTTCATTAATTTTTCTATAATCATATTCCATAATATAAAGAATTGAAAATCAACATGCTTAAAAGCTTGCTTCACGAATTGTGAAATTTGTTTGGGAATTTTCTTCGGTGTTCCTTTCAATATGAATTTGCAAAGAATGTTGACAATATTTCTGATCATATGCTGGATTCAGCAAGTGATTAAACCATTTTTAGTTGCTTTAAACTGCGGGTGCTGGTTATTTCTGAAGATTCAACTTGCTAGTTTTCATGTTCTTAGTCTGTGACTTTGTCTCTTGATATGCCTTGAAATTTTTACATCACTGTAACTGTAGCTTGCAGCAATACTTTTTACTGCATAATCCACCCTGATACCATTTTTAGGAGCTGGTGTGCCATGTTCAGGGCTTCGAAGTACTGGTTTCACGTACTCTCCATTCAGTTTACTCAATTTGTTTGACACATAGCAGTGTGCAGGGGCTGTGAGACAGTAGCTTCTGAGAAATGAGAATGGCTCACAGTGACTTTCTTGCCCACGCCACAGAATCTATCATCAAGTCCAAGTGGGCCAATCTGCGTTCCCAGTTTCAACGCGAGGTACGCAAAATCAAGGAGTCTGCGCAAGGTGGCCACCCACTCGATCGCTACATGTCAAAGTGGGCCCACTACCAGCAGCTGCAGTTTCTTCGGCAGGAAGACACTCCAGAGTCCCTCAGTGGCTATTCGTGTCCACCTGAGCCACAGCATGACAACAGCATGGTGGGTGCACACTTTGCTGAAGGCCTTTTGGTGAGCTGTGAGTGGATTGTGCAGCTCGGAGTGAAGGTCCAACTGCACTAGTTGTGCCGTTTTTCTACAATACGACTTTTGTATGACTCACTGCATTCATTATGTGCCAAAGCGTATATTTCACATGCTCAAATGACAGTGCAGTGTTTATGGCTCAAAACATTTTCACTTTAGCACCAAGTACACACAGCTTTCAAATGCTGCCGTGGGACCGACTTTCCCCCTTATAATTGGCCTATCTAAAGTAAATACAGAGTAAACTTGAAAGGCGCAAACAACTAAGACAAAACACATACTACAGGACTGGCATCAGACTTGCAACAGGCGTTTATTTGCAATGAAAACATGATATACTCCTGCGTCCAATTTGTACATATGTATACATCATCCTACAAAAGATTGCACGGGTCAATCTTTTTTTTTAAATAAATATGTGCGTGCGATTTTCATTATTGATGGCTAACCATTTTGTCCATGGTTATTGGGAAACTGTTCATAATGCATGAACAAGCAATTTTTCAACCAATCCTGAATGCTTATCCCGCACGCGGGCCATGCGACTGGAGCATTTAGGCACTATACACTGTGGACGAGCTCTTCATGCATAATAATTTCTGGCATTCGAAATTCTGGGTGTCAAAACTACGAGGTGTACTCATGCAAATTGAGATTTGAACACATAATAATTATATCCAGCAAAAGTTTATTAATGTCAACTTAAAGGAGACTATAAAGTTGTTTAAATTAATTGAAGTTCGGATCAGCGGGCTGGCACCACGAACAGAATTGGTCGGTCAGTCAGTGATATGCCATAAGCAAGCGCCGACATGCGTATATGGGAAATGGAAACGGTGAGCCTCACTATCCAAATATATGATGCTATTTGTGCTGCAAAGCACCGTACAACCTTGATAATTTAAGACTGGGGCCGCGAGAAAGCTTCATATTAAGTGGTTTTTGAAATAACAGTACATACAAATAGTAGAATCCAAAAAGGAACTTAAAATTATTCAAACTAATGCTAAGGCTAATCATTTTCTGTGCCGGCTAGTTTGCGGCTCCAAGGGTCATGTTTTCTCGCAATACCTGGTCTTAATTTCACCGCAAACACGGAGGAACGGCAGGCCTTGCTGCTGCTACAAAAAAAAAATAAATAGAAAAAAAAACGCCTTCGTTATCAACTAGAATGTCCCTGCTGAAATCAAGACGTGCTTCACTGCTGCAAAGTAGTGACACGTGGGCAGCATGTCGCTTGATCCTCGCTGCGTCAGCACGTCATGATGTGACTATTCGTCTATTCTTTCTGGTAAAATAAAGGATTTAATAATGATCGGTGTGACGAAATTCGTATTATGTTTTGGCTGGAAAACATGATCATTGAAGCTTTGGAACTTAGTTTTCGAAGTGGGCGTTGCAGGCAAGAACTCATTCACTAGTGCAAGTACGCAGATTGCTGGAGCCACCGGTAATTGAAGGTTGGCATAGATCGCGAATTTTGCCTTTATGAAATTTCGTTACAATCCCAGAAAGAATCGGTAAATCATGACACGCAGACATAGCGCAAAAACTTGCGATATGCTGCCCCCGCGCCACCTCTATGTTGCAGTGAAGCCTGTCTTGTTTTCCGCGGGTGAAATTCGCGATCACAAGATCGTTCACTTGACCACGAGACGGTTTTTTTCCGCCTTTTTTTTTTTGTGCTGGAAGTCACGAGGCTGGGCTGCATCAGGGGCCACTCATTAGAATTGCTACGTTTCATTGCCTTGTGGTTTTAAAAGCCCGTTGTTTCCACTGACTCATGACAAAATCGGGATTGTTAATTGGCATATCGCGCCCAAAGTTTTCAAATTTACGGGATTGGTGCTGGCCGCCACTTCAAATCATTCACTCAAACTTACGTTGCAAATACGGGACCGTGAGAACTCTTCAAATTAAGTGGGATTTCAAAATGAGTTCAAATCAATGAGGTTTTACTGTGCGTTGATTTTCACGGCAGACATAACTCAATCAAAACTAAAAGTAACAAGTAATTTTCATTACCATGCATTTCTCCTACTATGCTTTTACGAGCAACATTTACAGCTTGCCCAAGTGTTCTGGCAAGGCATCTGCATTCTCACCTGATGAGAAATGCTGTTGTTTCATTGTTTGGTACCTCTGTATATTCAGTTTAGTTCAGTTTTGCAACACATGATCACTTGAGGCTGGCTTCTTCAGGAAGTAATTAAAACCAGGGGCTCCCAGTTTAAAATAATCACTGTAGATACTGATGCATTTGAATTATCGTCGACTCTTCTTGAACGGAACTCGAAGGGAATTCATAAAACTGTTCCATTTTTCAGAAGTTTCATTTAAGCAAAGTACACTTGTTTAGTGAATCAAAAACTTTATTCAAATTGCATAAACCTCACCTTACTCATGAGGATGAGTAGGAGAAAAAAAGGACTGAAGGGTGGTTTGTTTGGCAAGCTTGAGTTGTTTTTTCACAAGGTACGCACCCATGCTTGAAAAACTAGCCAGAAATTCTGGACAAGCCGCATGCTCAAAATAGCGCTGCAAACGTACAATAGCCTCTTTAGCTGATCAGTTTGGTGGTACCACTACACTGGCAATATTGTCATCACATTCATCGCTGGACTGTTGATTCTCATCTTGCACTTCGACAATCATTTCCTCGACAGTCTCGTCACGACAGGTACGAACATTTTTATCAATTGACTCGTAGTCCTGCAGCGTGAAAGGGGCAAACGGAAAGACCTCACTGAATACTGCATCAATTTCGGCTTCAGCAGAGCTTTCTTCTTCATTAGGTACTGCTTCTTGCAATTGAAATCCAGGATGATGAAAGCATATATGTATTGTTGTTGCCTTCACTTGCTCCCAGGCACGAGCCGATGGCTGCCAATAAATCTATGCTGTCGCATTTCCCGCTGTCTGCCCAAAGCAGCATTTAATGGAGCAATTGTCTGCGATAATGAACTTCAATGTTCTGAATAACCCCTTGTACCATCGGCTGGATCACTGCTGTTGCATCGGCTGGCAAGAACTCCAGAGTAATGGCTTGAAGTCTTTCAACCTGACAGTGGGCTAGGCAATTATTCACGATGAAGACAACCTTCCTGCCTTGCCTCGTGAATCTTGCGTCTTCCTCCCATAGACAGTTTTCGAAAATAGACATGGTCATCAACGCTCTTTCGTTCGCATGGTGTGCAAAGGGAAGGTGTCAAACGCCTTTGAAACAATGTGGGTGCCTTGATTTTTTTATTGCCAACAGCTTCAATTTCTCATCATGTGCCATCATCACACCCACCAGCACAGTGATGCGATCTTTACTGTGCGGGCCTTGATTTTTCTATTACCAACAGCTTCAATTTCTCATCTCCTGCTATCATCGCACCGACCAGCACAGTGATGCGATCTTTACTGTGTTTTCCTCCACTACAGGCTTCGCCTCTGAAGGTGAGAGTTTTTGATGGAAGCGCCTAATAAAAAAGATCCATCTCGTCGACGATGAAGACGTCTCGTGGCTCAAAGCTCATCAAAATTTCCTTAAATCGTGGCTGTTGCCAGTCGATACAAATGTCCCAGCTGACTGCAGCACTCTCACCTGAGATTGCTTCGAAGACTAGACCATGGGGTGTTTTGAAGCGGCTGAACCATCCGTCGCTTAGGACGAAGTTCTCAACATCCTTTTGCATGGCGATCTCTCGGGCTTTCTGCTGGAGAATCGTTGTATTTAAGAAAAAGGGCAACTGTTGACTGTGGTCATTAATGAATTCAGTCACCCAACACTGCTTTTATTATTGGCCTTTTCATGAATGTCTCCTTTAGAAGGTACAGTTGACTCTCGTTAATTCAAACTCGAAGGGTTCTCTGAAGTTTGTTTGAATAGTCAGAAGTTCTCAGATAGATGACTCTGGTTGAGGTGACACTACACATTATGATTAGGCATTGGTTTTATCATATATAAAAGTTTTTAAGTATTTTTATACCCTAAGGGCATGCAATAAACACAAAGCAGAGGTGTAAGGTCTAGAAGTTTATTGGCCATTTACTGCTGATCAAACCTTCTAAAGGAATCGTTAATTGCCAACTTCTTCTTTGCTATAGGTATCTGCCTTCAGCACAAAGCTCTCTAGAGCATTTGAGAAGCATCGCGGTTTACCATATGTACGCTTTGTCTGAAACATTTGTTTACTAGCAAAGCCTTTTTTCTTGAAGGCATGAGGTGCTTACTTTTCATTTTTAGACTGTTAAGATTATATAAGCATGCAAATTTTTAAAATTGTAGTGGTAAAGCGGCAGATGTTTTTGGGTATAGAACCGCAAAAATTATGAATTAACCGAATGATGAAGTTCGATTTAGGAAGCCTTTAAATACACTGAAAAAATAGAGGACCAACCAAAAATATAATTTTGTTTGAATCAACCAAAAGTATGAATTATCAGAGTTTGAATTATAGGAGAGACCCACGCCGAGGGAGGCGCTGCGGAGCGTGGCGCTGTCAGTCAATGCGGGGAGAAAACTGGTTACACGAGTCTTCGCCCCTCCGCTGTCCCATTCAACCTGCCTTGAAAACGCGTTTGTTTGCTCGCGCGCTGCACACGTTCTGCACGTGTTTTTGAGAGTTTCGCATCGCGTGCGGTGCGCTCTGTCCGCATTCATTAGGATGCCGCAATTGAGGATTTTTTCGTGGCAGCAATTTAGTGAAAGGGCAGCGAAGCAAGTTGTAGCAGACGACGCCGTCCTCGTTAGAGCGAAGTGCGTTTCGCAAGTGAAAGACGACGCTGTTTACGACGTTAGAGGTGAATAAAACTTTCTGTGCCCCGCCACGGTGGTCTAGTGGCTAAGGTACTCGGCTGCTGACACGCAGGTCGCGGGTTCAAATCCCGGCTGTGGCGGCTGCATTTCCGATGGAGGCGGAAATGTTGTAGGCCCGTGTACTCAGATTTGGGTGCACGTTAAAAAA